CTCTCTCTCTCTCTCTCTCTCTCTCTCTCTCTCTCTCTCTCTCTCTCTCTCTCTCTCTCTCTCGTTTGCGATCGTGTAGACACAGGCATTTAACGAACCCAATGAAAGAAACAACTTGAAATCAATCAGAAGAGAATGTAGAACTCCTAGCCGGAGCGACAATTCATTTGGACTGGAGAGCAGTCAAAACAAAAAAAATAAAAGATCAGAGAGATTTGATTCTGCCACACAGTCTGGTCCGACTACGTATGAGGTCCTCTCAAGCCTAGTCGGACTCATCTTCGTGAAGACACAGCAAATCAAATTCAAAGTGTACTACGTGCATGCAAGAGAGAATTGAGTGGTGTCCAAGGTGCGAGTCAGTCAGCGGATCGTGCGGTAAAGTCTGATAAAACGTCTCAGCTAATATCCCCTCAGCAACGAGTGTCCTGGTCCGAAAGCATGAACTCCGAGTCCCAATCAGTTAGAGGGAGGTAACTGATGTCAACAGATTTGGGCAACGGCCTCCCCTTTTGCAGAGACATAGACTAAGTACATTCCTTCCTCTTGGTTCTGTTTATAATAATTATAGAAAGTTAATGCGCATAAGCACCCATTGGAGTCTATTAACCTACTAGCTTTGTAGTTAGCCAGTCTAACGGTTCTCCCACTAGGCAACTCGTGCTTCAACACCTTCTTGTCCCAGTCAAACTGGGGTTTGGCAACCTCGAGGTAGTACATGCCCAACAACATGTCAAAGGGCAACTCCTCGCTCACCAGGAATGATATCTTATGATTTATCTCTCCTCCTGGGTAAAAGAAGGTGTAGACCACATCTTTAACGTAGTCTTCCACTATCATGCGCTCTTTGTTGGCGAAAGTAGATGCTACCGGTCTACTAAGGCGCTGCACCCAGTCCTTTAGGCACAATCTGTCAACGCAGTCGTGACTTATGAAGTTTCGCGTGGAGCCAATGTCTACGAAGGCGCCGCACTTGCGACCACCCACACCAACTTCCACAACGAAGTGCTCCCCTCTAGGACCTCTACTCGGTGCCACCCAGGACTCACGAGGGTCCCTTGCCGACCACTCACCTTGAAGGTCCTCTAAGGTTTCAGACACATCCAACATACAGAGTATAGTTGGGTCCGGATGCGTCTGCGGGGTGACTAAGGAGTCAATAGCTTTGGCCAACTCTTGAACCGGGGAGGGTACATCACCCGCTTCAACGAGAGTAGAAGCAGCTACATCTTCTACCGGCCCTAAGTGTTTCCCGAGTTGGGGCTCGTGGAGGCCCCAGACTGAGAAGAAGGAAACCCACCCTTAGGAGGGATCTTCTGCGAGACCTTCGGGTTCTTACATTTGAACTGTGTATGGTCGTACTCGCCGCAGTTTATGCAAGCACCACGCGACCAACGATCTCGCCACACTTCCTGATCCAAACCTGCTTTAACCCAAACAGTTATCTTGTTTGGGTTAGCGGCCTGCCCCTGACTCCTTTGCTGACCGCCCTTGCCGCGGCCTGTTGCCTTAGTCTTAACTACTGTGGCGAGGTTGCTACCCTCAACACTCTCCTCGCCGTCTAACTCTGCACCCTCCACAAGTTCAGAAACATCATCGATTTCAGTTTGATTCCCTTCGGAATCAACCATCATCAATCGACTGCCCTTCTTCTTCCATTCTTGTAGAGTCTTCTTCTTTCTCACGTCAGTAGAAGGGGTTTGATCACTACCCAGCGTAGCCTCTAAGTCTAGGGCCTTCTTGCTGAATGTCTCAAAGGTGTGATACTCTCTACGAGCCTCACTGGCTAATAAGTTCTTGATGTCTGTGGGAAGACATCTCAAGGACGTGGTCAACAGGACCTGTGGATTGTACTCCACTCCTGGGACAACGATCAGGCGCTCTACGGTTGTGGTAAGCTCTCGCACTGACTTGTGCTTTCTAGCATCAAGCTTTAAAAGCCCATCAGTGGCAATTTGTGCCTGCTGAGGGTTGTGCCAACGAGCCTCCACTAAGTCCATAAAGCTCTCCAGAGTGTGGGTCTATGCCCAATCACCCATGTTCCTGCCGAACCCCTTTGAAGCTACCAATCCATTAAGCCAACGAGTTGTCGAACCCTCTAAGTAGGATGCAACAGTAATCACTTCTTCCTCTACCAATGTCCTCTTTGCCCTCACCCACACTCGCACCGTTCTCAACCGCGTGTCCTGAGTCTCGTCCTTCTTGTCTCCTGAGAAGGTTGGAGGTGGTTTCAGGGGGGTCTTGGGATACCAAGGAAATTGTTGTCCCGCTGGCGAGACAGGTGGCGACTGTGGTGTAGCACCAATCGATGGACTGGAAGATGAAGAAGCAACAGTCTGAGATAAGGCTGCTGTTGATGTACCACTTGGTGGTGGTCTAGACTGAACGACATAGGGGCTTGTCGTCGCTGAGAATGGCAGCGACGGCAAGACTGCTGGCCTGATCCCTGGTGTGTGCATGGCATTCAGGATCTGGTCCAAGGTGTCCTGGATTGTATCCAGTTTACTGTCCATGTATGCATGCATGGACAGGATGCTCGCCTTCAGAATCTTTTCATTATTGTTAAGGGTCAAGTCATCTAACCCCTCTAATGCAGCCTTGTCTGCCTCCCTATCCTCTAGTCTGACACTTTCGTCTCTAATCTCTTTCTCTCTCTTAGTAGTCTGTCTGAGTTCCTCCTCTAGCCTTAAGCGGATCCTCTCGACTTGCTGTAGCTCCATTTGCTCCCGGGTGCGTGGAGGCGGCGAGCTGAACTGCGAGCCCGCCATCTGACTAGTGCCAACTCTTGATGTATTGGAGATGGACTGTGAACTGGTCGGCATGCCCAGCCCTTGACCAATTGAGTTTGCGGCAGAAGTTGCTGCCGAGGTAGCCATAGCTAAAGCGCTAGCTGCTGCTGCTGCTAACGCACGTTCAACCGTTGTTGCTGCTTCTCTCGCAGTCTCTAGATTGCGGGCCCTTGTCTCGGCCCTAAGCCTTCTGTCGTCTCCTGGTAGTAGAACCTGGAACACAACAGGTATCCTAGTGGTATCGTCGTGTCTGCCTCCTATCGTCAGATCTATCCTCCCCACCGTCTGATTCGCTCATGAGCTAGGCAAATGCTGTCTGCACTAGTGTCCTCTTTGGAACCTACCGCAGCATGCGTCTGACCGGATCTAAAAATAAATAAATAAATAAATGTCCGGCGAGTTACCTAGACTACTAGCCAAGCGGCATCAACAGAACCTACACAAACTGTACACATTGTCTAGGTCTATCATGATTAGTTCTGCACAGAAGATTCGAGAAGAACTGACTATGGTAGATTACAGTCCTACTCTAGTCTGTCTGTTAGGTATCAGCAATCGGTTAACCAACTGATCAAAAATAAAACTTAGACTAATGTGAGCAGATGAATGCACAATGGAAATGGTAGTGATGTTCAGTTGAGTTCACAATTGGAATCCCCTTCCCCTGTATCCAACGTACCTATGAGCATCATCAAGCTGCAGTGTCTAAGGTGTGCAACCACGGCCCACCCCTGTGCCCAAGAAGTATGCTTATGACCAGCCTGCCCTTTATTTACCCTCGCGTGCAACGAGCCTTACGTCTTACTGATCTGGCTGATCAAGAGGCAATTTAAGGACAGCCCCTGGAGTCCTCAGGAATTCTTTAACGTCGCAATCAGGACGACGATCACAACCAGTGGACAGTTCAGACCCCAACCAGAAATGTTTATAGACGGTCTGGGAGCGTCTCCATAGGACTGGCCAGTCCACACACCCCTTCTATCAGCGCAGCAAAGAGCCTCAATGGACAAAGCAGCATGGCCTGCGTGTACTAATACCCATGGGTTTGCATGGTGACCGTGACCCGTGCTTCGACCAGGGCCCTTCAGAGGCACCGCCCATCCTGCCAGATGCGCCACCGGGAAGAATGTCGTCTCTCAAGATAGAGCGCACATGACTCCTCACCAAAGAGAGGACACTCAAGTTGGACTCACTTCCTCATGGTAAGAAGAGATTGAAAGGGTAGATAAGGAATGGGAACAACGTACCTGGAGATAGCTGCCCCCAACCACAGATTTCTCACCAATTGGGCCGACGTGCATTTTGATGACCGGTCATTAGCCTCGGTACCACCCACAATGCAATGCAGTGCCACCTCAGCCAAAATGCCACGTCAGCATACTCTCATCATCATGCATACACGCGTTGTTGCCACAGCTCCCACGTTGTCACCACAACCTTCCAGCGGCCGGCCTCTCCACCTAGGCCCCGCTAATCAACCAGCGGCAAAGTATCCTCACTGCACATGAAGCATCATCAACGCACCAAGTCACAATGTCGCCGGTGCCAAGAAGGTGGCGATCACCAACCAGCTCCGATACCAAATTGCAAGGAATATGGGTGTGAGCGATATACATAAAACCAAGTTGCGAAATCACACAGCTGTCCCAGTAGTCGTGTCCAAAGCAGAGAGTACAAATGCATCGAGAAAACCATCCAAATGGAGCAATACAATGAAGTAATAAGCCAATGTTCATGCCCGTAGGGCACACCAACACAGTATCCAAAGTCCCTCTGCCCTGTCTGGCGCTCAGCGCCCAGCCTACTCTACAAGACTATCCTACCTACAGCTGGTTCACGCAACAGGATCACTTCGACTCACGAAGACCAATGTACATGACTGCCAACACCATCGTCGACCTCTCTTCATGTACCAGGTACGTATCTCGTCACCCTCAATCAGACCTTGATTACCCCACACAGCGCCTCCTTCCATGAAGACCACCTGATCATCCGCTGTACCCCCTGGTGCCCAGCAGCCTAGCTAATGCCGCCAGCGCCCCGCTGCCCTGCAGCGCCCCACAACACCTCTCGCGCCCTGCCAACGCCGTCGGCAGCAGCGCAGCATCAAGCGAGAGCGCAACAACACTTCCGCAATGCCAGCACTGGCCAGAATGCCTGGCCTGGGCTGCCTTCTTCCTTTTGTGGAAGTAGCAGCCTCCTGGATGCTGCGTCTGGCCTGGCTGAAAGCTTCCAGTAGCTTCCGGTTGGGTCCCACAACGGGCACCATGCAATTACATGCCCTGCAATGCCACACTTCAAGCACTGCGCGTTGTCCATTCGTTCCTGCCACGTTTCTTGTGACAGGCCCATCTTTTCCCAAGGCTTCCCGACCGCAATTCCGGGGTGCTCTGGGAACGAATGTGGCTTCTTCTTCTTGACTGGCGGTCATGGTCCTCCCTTGTTGACCACGGCAGCAGTGACTTCCCCCTTCCCGGAATCACTGTTGCTTGCCACACCCTCGGCCTCCAATGGCCACTTCTCTACGGTATCGTCATCAAAGACGACAAGGGTGTGGTCCTGGCGCTTTTGGCGCCAAAGTACCCGCTTTCCTGTTCCTGCACCACCACCATATTTAACAACAGACGCATAAGAGTTCTTAACCTGAGAGGTCATTTGCTCTTGTTGGAGAGCCAGATCCCGAAACTGCCTATAATTATACTTACCAGACTTGGACTCTGCCACGAGTTGTCCACGAATGGGCTTGGGCAGAGCACAGGAATAGATGTACAAGACCTGGTTGTCTTGCAGGTTCAGTCCCGGAACCTGCAGCAACCGATCAACTTTCCGGGATAACGACTCCACAGAGGTCCAATGTCTTTGACCAATCGTGGTGAGCTGGTCAAAGGCCTTATCGGTCGTTGTTTTGTCCAAAAAACATTCCTTGATCTTCCCAAGGAATTGTTTGAGGTTCAAGGTTCCAGCTCACTCCCCGCTGTCATCGAACCCTGCGGCATTGGCTTCAGCCAAAACCCACTCCTTAGCTTCCCCACCAAGACAAGAAGTAGGGAATGCAACCTGGGATTCGGGTTCAACAGGAGCCGTGCTACAGTACGTTTGAATCTCTGCGATCCACAAAAGCAGATTTTCATCTTTCTTATTACAAAATGTGAAAGGCAATTTCATTTTAATTTTTTCTTTCCTCTTTTCTCCGGAACCGTTACTTTGTCTTGTGGCTTCGGAGAAGGAGACTTTGGAGGTGGAGAGGAAGGAGGGGAGCTGGGTGGAGAAGACGGCGGACTCGAAGGCTCCCCTTTCTTTGTTTCTGGTTTCTCTTCTGTCTTCTCTATTTCTACCTTGAGAGACTTCATGGCGTCTCCCATGAGTTTCTCTGTCTTTTCAGTCTTTTCTTCCTTGACTTTTTCTTTTCCTTCGACCAAATTTGTGATTATCCGAAGCCCTGAGGCCACATCATCAATTTGTGTCTGCATCCGTTCGCCAAGCTGATCGATTTTCATTTCTAAATGGGCAAGGTAATTCACAAGCAGAGCCAAGGAAATTTCTTGTTCTTCCCCTTCAGTTTTAACAACAGTTTGTCTAATCTTTTGAACTTTTTGTTCTTGTTGTTCAATCTTTCTCTTTCTCAATTCTTCTTTCCTTTTCTTCTCTCTTTCTAGTGCTTCTTCAAGTTGTCTGATATTCTCATCCACGGTTTCTTCAGACACCACCTTTTCTCTTTCTTCTTTCTGTACAGCAAGCTTGGAGAGTTGATCCATGACATACTTATCAAGTGTTTGATTACACTTGATTAGCACATCCTGAACCTGAATGACGTCGGTGCTTGTCACTGCCGATTCAATAACATCATGTAATGCTCTTAAATCGAGCAGGCTCCTGGCATGGGCCTCAGCCTCAGCACCTGTGTCATGAAGTTCAGAAATCAATCTGTCCAGACGGGCAATCAAGACTTGTTTTCGCTCTTTCACTTGCTGCTTAGTTCGGGGGTCAGGAGTCTCCTCATCCACAACAAACATGAGTGAGACTGGGTAGAAAAGAAGTGAGATGAAACGTGTGAGCACTGACAATTTCAGAGAATTCCAGACATCGTGACGTGCGTCTGCCGCACAATAAATACCTAACTAACAATAATAAATTCCACGACCGCACTGATCTACCACAACAAGATTTCAAAGAACCGAAGAAAAAGAATCAAATACAATTATTTTCTATTTTTGACTATTGTTGCTCTTTGCCGGTCTGTGTGATGACGTCCTAAACAAGAGTGTACCGGTTTCGCATCAGGCCCGTGTGATCAGACACAACACACAAGTAAGTATGCAAACACCACACACATCAACAACAGGTAAGTATGCCAACAACAATCACAAAACAATTGTCAGCAACCTTCGTCAGTCTGTTGTGTCTTCTTGATGTCAGTGCTATCACGCACTCCTCTTGACAGCTGGCACTACAGCTGTGCAATCTGTCCAGTCAGCTGTACCGCTGTCGTCTTTAGAGTGCACCTCTTACTCGGCAGTATCCTGCCTGCCACGTGTCATCCCTGGAGTGCCAACATAGCAATGTTGCCACGTCAACTCTCTGTCCAATCTGTCAATAATGGGATGCCACGTCAGCAAATGTGTAGTCTGATCCTCGCCACGTCAGCAGGCAGACACCACCTCATGAGACAAGTGTGATGACCTGCTCGTGCCACGTCAGCAATTAATCTTTCCTCCAGGCCACGTCAGCATCTGCAGTAGACCCTGTCGTGTCAGCAACACAAGAAGTGCCACATGAGCAATCAACAGTGTCTTCAGACGCAGCACGATGTGTGCCACGTCAGGATGGGATCGCGATGCCACGTCACTATCGCGATCCTGGCTGGCGTGTGGTATCCCTTGTTGCGATCCCTACTGCCACGTCAGCAGCCTAGTAGGGATGTCTTCTCGCCAGAGGAGTCTGTACTTCGTCAGCTGCTCCGGTCAGATCTTCTCGCCAGTGAATCTGTACTTCGTCAGCAAACCCCGGCAATGTCTTCTCGCCAATGAGGTATGTGCCACGTCAACACCCCCAACGTATCCCTTGCCATGTCATCACCTACTCAACCTTACTTACCTGTGCGCCACCTGGCGCGTACCCACATACAAATGTCGTCGTCAAGAGAATAGCTCCGATACCAAATTGCAATGAACCCAGATCATGAGACAGTTGTCAACAATGCAAGCCCCGATAAATGTCCATCGGCTGATTATTATTATAGTCCATCGTAACCAGACAGAATGAGGTGAGGTAATCATACACAGACGAAGAGAGGGGAGGGAGAAGAGACAAAGGAGAGGAAGTATAATGCCCACTCCTGCTTCGGGCTCCCTCCTCTACTGCCACCTCAACAATCAATAGTCTGAACGAGTATCCTCAATGTGCCATGTGGCACGTCTAA